ATATATGTTTTAAGAAATATAAGAATGCATAAAGAGCAGTAAGGAAGTTTACACTGCTATTCAGTGATGGGTAAGTCAGGGGCTAGGTTGCCCCCCGGCTATGAGCGCATACTCACGCGCAGTGACGCCGGTGTCCTCCAGCTCCCGGTCGTTGGTACAGCCGCCCTGCTCCAGCCTGGCATCAGAGGCGGCGCAGCAGTAGCGCAGAGCACACGACCCGCAGCAGATGGTGGCGTCCACAGTGTCGAAGTCCTCCGGGCACTGAAATCCCGCCTGGTAATTGCCGGCAGCGTCCACCCAGCCGTGACAGTACTCTCCCTGAGCCCTGGCAGTGCCCCAAGTCAAGGCGGCGAGCGTTAAGTAGCATCGCAGTAATAAGCCCATAGTGCCAGCAGCAGGCTGCGCGGACTCCCGGTGCGAAGTGTTGGCTTTCCTGTCTGTGTGTGGAAGGATCGCAGTGTGTACACCGGGGCTGCATTCACATCATCCTCTATAGAAATCTTCCCGACCATCGGATGACCGGGGAGCGCAGCCACAAGCGCAGCGCAGAATCGTGCGGTCACCGGCTGCTCCTCTGCGCTGACATTTCACTCTGCTGCACTCCCGGGGCTGATCCCTGCTTTCTATCAGCCTGCGGTGGTCTCCCCCCTGTGCCTGTCTGGCAGCCAGCTAGAGCCCCCCGGCTGTCACTCCCAGCCCCCGGGGTCACAAGGCAGCTAATGAGAGCAGCTCCCTGCCACTCACTGGTCTCCATTGTCACCAGCACACAGGCACTTCTCATCTTCCCCCTGGGAGCTGCCACACAATGGAATCCAGAGCACAAGCCCCCCTCATTACTCACTATTTATTTTTAAATGCAGCCTAATTTCAAGTGGATTTTTTTTTTGTTAGGCTGCAAGAAAAGGCATCTCATTGATCCCAGTCCAGGCGCAGCCTTCCCATATATTGGTGTCTGTATAAAGTATAACATTTATCTGCTGCCCGTTAATGTCATTCAATGTGCACCCCCTGCTATCAATGCTTCCCTAATCCATCGCATGCATTTATTATGGCTTCTTCACAAATGAAAGCATGCGCAGGTTGGCGGGGAGGCTAAATTATTAATTGCGCCAATGTATTAAACTTTGACTGACCACCTGGTACCAGATTAGCACTGGGGGTCCTGCCAGGTTGAATTTTATGCTTTTCATTCCAATAGATTTTTTTTCTCCCTCTCTCCTGTTAGGAAGCCGCCAGCTTTGTGACTTTGCCGGATTGTAATTAAACAGAGACATTTCCATGGGAGCGCGAGCGGTCGGTTTAATGAAGGTGCGGCGATATCACATTCATTATAAATGGGCAGTTCTGCATTGGAGGGTCTTTCTGTAATGGGGGGGGGGG